TCAGCTGAAGAATGTTATTCGGCAGGAAGTAGCCCAAATTCCGGTGCACATGTTGGAACGTGCAGAGGGGAACTTCAGGAAATGGTTGCATCAGTGCATAGAGAATGGTGGCGACCACCTTCAAGATATTTTGTTTAAAACTACATGATTTAAAACTTTAAAGTATGTTCTTTCATTAGCTAAACATAAATTTTGTCTGTCAGCAATAATTTTTCTTTTATTCGCCTTCAAAAAAAGGAAGTTTTTGCCCCCCACCCTGTATTTCTTGTATAGAAGAAGTCTGCTGCCAGTAACTTTGTATTTTGTGAAGTTAACTGTATTCCCTGTAATGTTTCTAGTAGTCCAGTAGGTTCACAAACCACACAAATTTCTGTCCAAAGTTGTAGTCACTTTACAGTCTGTTGTAGAGGTTCAGAGAGTGCATCAGTCACCATGTAGTGAAGCATATATTTGATCCAGAAATCTGGGAGTTGGCATGTGTGTTTATTTCTTCATCAGTTTCTTTGTGCAGATTTGTTGCACATGTCTGATTTGTAATGCAAACCACTGTCTGGAAATGGACTGGATAATGGTATTTGATTGCACACTGTGATTTTCTCTGTATTACAATTCTAAGAATAACAGTGGGGATCATCTAGCTTCCTAGTCTTTTGCTTCAGAAAGTTCTCTGTTAGAGAATAAGACTGCTAGCACATTAAGCCTACTCCAGCTATGTACCTGTGTGACATTGAGAACAGACTGTTGCTCTTATGGCAACAGTGTTGCATCATACAGTAGGATAATGCAGGCTGCCTAGGTACAGTACAGACCTCGAGCACATTGCCATTACTAAATATGTTTTTGTATGGGCCTCTATTCTAATCATCAGTTGGAGGTGGCAGATTTGATGTGCAGCAGTGGAGATATTTAACTTAACTGTACAATTAATCCATTTTGTACAAAACAAATATCTTGAAATTTATGTAACTTCAGTTTCATTCACAGTCCACTTATATTTTTCCTCAGGATTTTTACTTGTATTATGATTAAACACACTGAAAGTAATTTGTTCCTATTTGCTTCACAATACTGGTACACTTGTATATTTTTCTTTCATTGAGCATTATTCATTTTCTAACAACCCACACTTCATATCATCACGATGGCATAGAGAAACTGAAAATGTTTTAAATATTTTGCCATGTACTTGTCTGACAGGGAAAATCAGTCAGGAATGGAAAGGCTATTATATTTAGTGAACTGTGTAATAACTGACAAAGAAAGGAGTACATTAATAAAGCAAATATAAAACTTTTGTCTGAACAAGCAAACTGTGATTTGCCTGCATTTTGATCTTACAGCAGAAATATAATTACATTACAGGCGAGTGTAAGAAAAAGAAAATGTTAATTATTGTGGTTGATGTTACTGGAAATAATCATCTGGAAGACAACAAAATCTGTTCTCAATGCTGGAACACTTCTTGCAATAGAAATTTAATTTCCATGAATTTTGGGCCATGGCATCTTCCAGAATTTGCTCTACTATCCTGGATGAAAAAATGGACATTGTCATGTTTTGGTGGTTTACACAAAGAAAGACATGCATGGATGGAGAACTGGAAATACCATTGCAGAAAACTTGACATAGTGGAAAGAACTCACTGTGCGTACTTTCCTAGGTTGACACTAGTAGTAATTTTAATCTTTTAATGTCCAAAGTACACTGATCAGTACATTCATGAGTATGGTTGTCATGGCCAAAGTACCCTGATTTGTGCGTTCAGGCATTGCCACTAGTGGAAGCTCGCATACACACTGCTAGTAGAAGCATATGTACAATCCTAAATATTTATTTTTAAATATAGTAAAATTCAACATACATATATTTTTTGTTGTTATCTGCTCAACATATATACAGGCTTCAATCCCTGCGTCATGTAACTGAATCTCGCCTTTGTGTAATACTGCTTGAAGCACCCAAGAAAGCACAGTTCCACATCACATACCTTGCATTTCAAGTGCCTTTCAATTTCATCATCTTTCAAACAATGTTTCATTGCCATTGTATGATAACATGAAACTACAATATTCAAATTCATTATGAACTCGCAGAAAACTGAATGCACTCTGTTTCTCAGGTGCTGTGCAAGTGTTTGGCTGTGACCATAGGAAGGGCAATATGCTTTTGCAGCTGCAGTGGCAGGGCTTGGCACTGAAGTAGGGAACAATGGATCTTTCTTGAAAGGCCATGTAATCACTTTTACGTGCTTTAGTCAAAAGACTGGAATATCTGAAGAGTGTAACAAAGATGTGAAACTTGCCAGCAGAGACCAAATGACTTTATTGCTTCCAGCTGTTTTATGGCACCAGAGAATGCGAAAATATTTCAAATGTTACAAGCAGGAATGATTTTATGATGCAGAACTACTATCTGAAGAAGTGGGAAACTATTTTTACAGTATGCATCAAAATTACAAACTTTTTGTCTACATTTTTCAAATCTTATGTTATAATATGCAACACTGTGTTCTTTGCTGATAAATCAAAGTTAATTCAATTCATTTACCATAAAAATTGTATTAGATACAGCATTTTCAAACACAGTGCAAGCTCCCTAACAGGAATGGACATTTAAAAACAGAGCAACAACAGACATTTAAAAGTGAATCAGTAGTGGGCATTTGAATAAACTCCAGCCAGCTCAAGCTATCTCCATTTCAAAAGCCCGGTGTTTAAAGGTTACATGAATAATTACAGAATGTAATGATTCATTTGTGTGTATACATTCCTAGTACAGGTTCCGTTTGTGTCAAAATATGGTAGTTGGTATATATGTAATTTTAAATGCATGAAAATGCTTAACGTAAAGTCTATAGACACTTTTATGTCATAAGTCTCAAAACAAAATTTCACCTGCCTAGCTCCAGTGGTTTGTTAGTTACCACAATCAGAGTGGAAGTTAAGCACAGATTTCATGTGACTACCATGTTACTAAAATATAATTCCAGCAAAAGTTGCAAATCTCTTGAAGTTCTCTTGTCATGTTTTAGGATCTAACATTAAGAGATGCTTCTGCCTCAGAAGTTCACACAGCTACCATATTGCCATTATTGATGACAGGAAATTGATAAGCACAATGGAGGGGGGAGGCATCAAATGATATTGTTAATACAAAGTATCATAAGAATTTATCAGTTGGTTCAGTTGTTATCAAGCTGTGGAATGGACACATGTACATTAAAACCAATAACTTCAGTTCTCTTTATAAGGAACTAAGGCTAAAATGAAATGTGAAAAATTCAAATCTTAGATAGATAAAGAGTTTTAGAGGTAAAAAAATATGTATTTGTGTGTGCAGGGATGAAATATTGCAATGATGTCCAAATTTATGGCAGCTGCATATTGGTTAACTCTTGGCTGTCACATAGTTTTCTCCATGAAAAAAGGGTTGAAGGTATCACTAAATTTAAATTGATATGAAGTGGGAAAACAGTTCTTTTCAAGTTTAAAATTGTTTGCAGAATTTAACTGAGAGGGTAAACGAATCTCTCACGAGTTCAGCGCAGCCCCAGACACTTCCTGAAGAAGATATGGTAACAAGTTTGCTAGGGTCTGTGATGACAAACTGTACTGGTGATGACACATTACTTTCACAACAGCGGACAGGAGCTTTCCATACTGCAGATGGTCAAATTCTGTATGTCACATACACAGTAAATCCTACGTTAGATGAAGTCATTGCAACTCATCAACCATTTGCAAGTGAAATTTCTCAGCGAATGGTGCTACATGTAACAGATTATGGGAGTACACTTGTGTTACCAGCTGAGAATGTGGAAGTGGGTGGATTTGATGTTGAGAGTGGGCTTGTGCCTCAGTTGACTGGTGTATACTCGCTTGTAACAAATGACAGTTTATCTGAAGACCCAGCAGCTTGTCCTTTAGTCCAAACTTCTGATATGAAAATTACAAAAGAGGAAGAAAAGCTGAAACAACGCCCATTTGTTGAGATTAATAATCGCAGACGTACTGAACAGGTATGTGGATTTTAGTTTGTTATCAGTGTTTGACTACAAGTGAAAGAAATAACTTTTGCTTTGTTTTAAGATTTTAAAATAATTATGGGTTGTGCATTAATATTGTCACATGTGTGAGTGTGACTATAAATGGCGTTTGGATTGGTAATTGGCTTTATTGAACACTTATACACACAACTCGTAACTAAAAGTAAGTATAGCGCTATTACTGATTCACACTCTGCAGTTCATTACAGTGCACACTTAAGTCTTCTCAACCTGCTGTGTCTTGACCAGTTTTCTGGTAACAGCTTCCAACAGCAGATGTTCCCTTTCCTATGGTTTCCCAAACTGTCCGTGTGCCTCAGCTACCAGCTTCTAACAGCAACAGTTCATAAGGACTGAACTGCAACAGTCTGTAACTCATTGACTCACTCACCACTCAACTCATTTCACTCTATTCCACTAACTCTCACCACTTGTCCTGCTTATAAGATCTTGTCGTGGACCACACAGAAAACACAGTTCCTCTGTTGCTTTTAAATTGTTTCTTAGCAGACTACACAGAAAACACCATTTCTATGTTGTTTTTTGCAGGCCATTGCCTAGCAACGGCTGCTGTACAGTCGCCTATCTCACGGTTGTCTCTTAGCAATGGGTCTACATGCCACAATATGAAAGGGATATTTTCCCAACATGCAGTGATATAACATAACAGGATAGTTTTCATAAAATATAAAATTATTTTATTATGAAACAGAATAAAGTCTGGAAATGTACTGAATATTCCTTTCAAAATCTTTACCTTATGATCTGCTCTCCAAAAGCCTAAAGATGAAGGTACATAACAATTTTAGTTTTAGCTTTTGCTTTGTATGATGTGAAATTTGGTTGGACTCTTTGAAAGAAGAAATTAAATGAAAGGTATTTGAGAACAAAATTAATGTATAGATGTAAGATTGCAGATATAAACAGAAAAATGGAGTAAATTTCATTTGTGTTGCTGAGCATTATTTAACATCAAAATATTAAAGTGTAAGTCTGCAAAGAATTGGACAAAATTATGCAGTAATAATTTAATCAGTACAGTTTTCTGGGGATTAAGAAATGAAACATGTTAATTATGAAATAGTGCAAATAAAAAAAACTTATGGGCTACTGGCTGGACGTCCTGGGTTTGATTCCTGGCACGGAGGGATTTTTCAATTCTCCATAGCATCCAGAGCAACTCTGGGACCCACCCAGCCTCCCATCCAATGGGTACTGGGGGATATTTTCCTGGAGATAAGTGGCAAGAGCATGAAGCTGATGACCAGTCACCTCCATATAGTGCTGAGGTCATGACAGATGGAGCTATACTTCCACTCCCCATACATCTTCATGGTATAGTGCTTAAGTAATTAAACACAGGGGCAACTTAACCATAATCATTCTGCAGGAGAGCATATGGACCACAAAACTGTAATAAGGGACTCTGAAGTAGCATAATTAATCTTGCATGCTTTGGCAATTAAATCCTTTTTCTCAAAACTCATATGTTGTACAGACTTAACAGATTCTGACTTCTGGTCTTCTCGCAAGTAAGCTTTAACTGAAGAAACTAAAATATCTCAGGTTCAGTTCACATGAGTATTAACTCAGTTATGTGGTATATTAAGAATTGGAGCTACCCTTTAAAAATTCATGACACTTTTGTAGTTGTTAAGCATGTGATGTAGAGGTAAATGCTTAATGAAGACCATTATTTTGCTGTTCATTCTTTCTGTGGTTTTTCTCAGTGCCTTTGGATGAATTCTGAAACTGTTATCACACTCTTCCAACTATTTCCCAGTTTGTTATTCATGGCAGTGATTCACAGTTGTCCTAAATTTTGTAAGAGATCTGTAGAGCATTAAATTGCAGAAACATGACATGAAGGAAACACTGAACATAGAAAAGCATGAAGTATGTGTCAAGTTGATTGTTTCTGGTTGTTTTTTTTTTTTTGCCATGGGGGGGGGTATTTACCAGTACTTTGTGAATTGCATAGACTATATGGTATTGAATGGTAGGATGACTGTGAATGATGAATTGAAAAGAATATGAAAGGAAGCAGTCATGATCTGTATTAAAGCACTGTTATAGCATATGCTTGAAGGGACTGACAGAAACCATTACACTCCCATTTATGATAACTGACCAGTGGACTGAGCTCTGAACCTGGTGTGCCACAAATATAAAACTATTACATGCTTAATTTAGTCACAGATTTTGCAAAACACATACAGAGACATTAAACTATATGAACATGTGAGCAGGTGATTGGTAATGAGCTGCACATAGAACAGAAGCTGGAGGTGTTGGATGCAATGCTAACCCCTGCACCAGAGCGGCCTCGTAAGAGGAAATCAGACCCCATCACGGAGGACAGAGAAAGGATTTATATATGTGACCTCTGTGAGACTGCATTTTCACGGGCAAACCAATTCTATGGCCATTTGCATTCTCACAGTGGTGAGAGAAATTGGGAGTGCGCAATATGCCCTGGCAAGGTAATATGTAGTACCAGCTTAAACAGTGATTTATATTATGGCATGCTGAAGATAGTGAAGGTGGAAATTAATTTTGAAAATTGGTAATTATAGTCTGATTCAAGATAATGTCAGCAGCAAATTGTTAATTCTACACAGTATGATGGGAAATTATAAGCAAATAAGATGATTCAGGTGGAGTCTTGTGTTCAGTAGTATATCTGAAAGCAGTTCGAGGAACTATGACTGTGTGCTATTTTAGAACTGTTATGCTCTATTATTACACTGTAAGTGTTGCAATGGTACAAATCCAGTATTTTCTTAATTTTAATGTCTGAAACTTCTCTATGTGGAAAGTATGGTGAATGATCAGTTGCCACAAAGCAGAAAGGTAAATACTTAGGAATTCATGATGAGCATGAACACGTTAAATGAAATACATACAGAACAAGCAGTAATGTTAGCTGTGCTTAAAAATTTAGAAAAAGTAAATGTTTATACTAAAGGAAATGGCAGGTGACATGATTTTCCTGAAATTAAGTTCTTTTAAGAATGTTTTCTTCGTAGTGGAACATATGCATTTTGACTGCTGTTACATTGCAGGTGGTGTTTCCAAGTCAGTCATTACTACGTCGTCATGAGAGGGAATCTCATTTGAATTTACGACCACATACTTGTGGGGTGTGTGCTGCACGTTTTGATCGGGTCTCACAGCTTAGTTATCATCAGCGCCGCATTCATGCTGGAGAGCGTGGCCATGTGTGTCAGATCTGCCATAAGGTGAGAATGGTTTAAACCAAAATTAAATTCAGGTGTAATAAATTGTAGCAATTCTGTTAAGAGATTTTTGTTAAAGAAGACACTTGCACGCTCTCTCTCTCTCTCTCTCTGTATATGGCTCTACGGCCCCTTGGACCTTGGCTGCTTTTTCAGTTTATTAATCCTATACACAGTCGGTAGAACTCTTTGGACAGGGGATGAGCCTGTTGCAAGGCCGCTACCTATATACAGAACAACACAAACACAAAACAAACACACACAGACATCCATGTCTCAAATGGGATGTGAACCCATGATCCCAGTGTTCGAGCAGCCGAAGACAGTTCATGCCTTAGACTGCATAGCCACTGTGATCGATAAGAAAACACTCAGGTTTTAGAATTCATAAAAAAAGTTACTTATCCAGCTGTTTTATTTGAGGTAAAGCTGATTTTAAAATGTTTTATTTATATGATGAAGTTGAATAATGGAACATGAAGATTCCTGTTAGATATATGTACAGCTCTGTCAGAGAGCCTCATGCTTAGAAGGTTAAATGAGAATTTACTATGTGAGAATTTTCTGCTTTTCTGTTACAGAATATCACTTTAAAGTAATTTTGGGTTTCAGACAATTAAAAAATCTGTTGGATATGGAAAATGAAATAACAAAATCTTACTGGAAAGTATTTAATTTAAGATATACTTTTTTTTTATAAAAATCTATTTGTTCACAGGTTTATAAATGTGTGAATTTTCATACACAACCTGTGTTAACTTTTCTAACAGGCTTTCTTCAAGCGATCTGATCTAAAGACACACCTGAATATTCACTTGGGAATCAACAAGTGTATCTGTGAGACTTGTGGAAAGAAATTTAATCATGTGTCTAATCTGATTCGACACACAAGGATGCACTCAGGTGAGTTACTGACATTGAGCCGCTTGGGTAGCTCAGATATCTTTGCTTGTTGTATTCTGCAATTGCTGCTTCTTGTTTGCAGGAATAAAACCATATCCTTGCACAGTATGTGGGCGACGGTTCAGCCAACTCAATGCCCTCCATCAACACAAAACATCGCATCAGACGAATAAGGATGTTGCTTGCAGCATCTGTCGCAAGATGTTCAAATCTCACATGGTAATGCGTAAACATGTGCGTCAACTGCACAGGGACAAACTGGCTGCATCAGGCAAGGATGCCAATTCTGTAAGGACCAAATTAGCCCACATTTTGTTATGATTGCACTTCATTCATCTCTATATGCAGAATCAAGAGTTTTGTACGTATATGAAACCTATGATCATTGTGTTAACTCATTGCTACTTAAAACGCATAATATAAAATACCATAGAAGATATTCCATCTGAATGGACTCTTACTGTGTTTTACTCAACTCTACTCACTGTCATTTCTTGAATTTAATCTTTTACTATATTTTAGGTCAAATGTCTTTCTGCTTCAGACAACATAATGTCTTTGAAGCATGGGTCCATTATCATTGCAATTACGGCTTCATTGTTAGTTTTATATCCTGGAAATGTGCTCTTAATGCCTTTGAAATATTTGTAGTGAATATTAAAGCAATTTCCTTAGTTTTCATTTTTATCCCCAATGCTGTAGATAACAGATATGATCTTTGAAAGGCAGGATATTCTTCTGAGCATTGCTTGTTAATGGTTTCATTAAGTGGCTAATGAATGTTAACAACTGCACTGGAAATCTTCCATTTATGGGAGTAAAGACTTTTATATTATTGTTTGCAGCTAGTGATTGCTTCTGTACCAGCAAATGAAGCATAGTGAACTCACAATTTCCAACTTTAATGTGGGAAATGACAAGTGGAGTTCTGCATTTACTTTCAGTTAGATCTTATACAAATTAGGTACAAGAAAATGCTGTTCTGTTAGAAATTTCATACATGAGTTCCAGAATTTGAATAAGGTGTTTGAATCCATCTTCCACCGTTGAAGATGGATGATAATCTTTACTATCATGTATGCGGTACTGTTTGTAATGTTGAAAGCTCAGCTTAAAATGGCTTCCAATTTTAATTTCATGAATAGCTTTCTGTTAATGTCTGTTGCATAAGATTAGTCTTGCCTCTCTCATACATGATTTTAAGTACTGTTGATATGGTTTGTTGTGTTTGGATGATAAATGCTTTATCAGAGTAGTTATGGTTCACATATGAACGTTGAACTTGTGGCACAGTAATTATATTTTACCCCATCTTCGGGACTTTTTCTAAAAATGATTCCATACTCATGCTGTGGTCAGTGCTAGAATAACATGTTAATAACTGTCACCACTGACTGTAATGTCTATATACTGTTTGGGGTTCCAAACTCTTACCCTTCTTTATGTTTATTGACAGTATGAACCCTTCTGAAAGCATCGCAAACTGCAACTTCAGCATCACTAGACACTGAGGTGTAAACAGCGCCTCTGCAAAAAAAAAAAAAAAATTCTTTAATGTGCAGTATTTCAATTTGAAATCATGAAGTTCTGTGGTGATTTCTTTTATGTGCTGTACCTTTTTAAATCTCCAGGTATTGCCACCCAGAACACAAAGAACAATAAACAGTCACTTTAAACAATCCTGTAGTTAAAGACAGTTGTCATCTGGGAGGTTACATATGTAATTTGGTAGAAGTTTACCAGTGTTCTGGAGGAATGTACTGCCTCAGTCACCAAGGTCAAAGAGTAAGCCAAGCAAGCATGCAAGCAGCAGCTGTGAGAATCTGAAATTTCACAAGGCTGTGGTTACCTATACCATTACTTTTCTTGATCACTTGAGTTAAACCTAACATGTTAAAAGTCAAAAGCATCTGCATTTGTACTACTGTGACATGATTACGATCTGACATTTATTTCATGGTGCAGCACAGAATATGCAGACTTCAGTGATTAAGTCGATCTTTGATTGAAAACATCTTTCTTTGATTTTAAATTCATGAACATTTGTTTGACCATGATTTATCCCATACTTCCCTCACATGAAAACTTGATTCATTGCAGTATAACAGTTGAACCTTCAACAAAATCGATGCCAGCTGCTATCTTTCATGTGATTAAAAATAGTGTTCTTCTTAAATAATGGAAAATAAGCACATTTAACATGTTCTTTTGGCTTCATATGAGTAATTTGTTTGGCAGTAAATCCCTGATGTGAACTGACTCTAACTGGTTCCAGACAGGCTCTGGTGAACACAACAATAAACCTTTTAGTTTCATAGAAAGCATATCATTTTTTCCCTGACTGAATGAATAACAATTAGTTTCTCAATAAGGTCTGTGCCTGGTAGACTCATTTAGTTAGGGAAATGATTTATGTTACACCTTGTAAAGGTTTAACTGGATAGTGATGGGCCAGGTAAATTGGCTGTCTGGAATGAAAGGGAGATGAACTTTAGAAGGAGCTTCATATATTGTATGAGATTTGAGGTTCTCACAATAGTGAGCATGGAGATTACTCTGTTCTGGAATATGATGCCATGCATTCTAGTAGATAGTTATTAGCATTTTGGAGAAATGTCTTTAGAGTGGAATCTGAAGATCGAGGCAGTACATTTCTCAAAAATGTTTGTATCTATCTACTGGACTACATGATGTCACTTCCTAGAATATGGTAATCTTTATATATTCTAGTTTTGCAAGGAAATATTTCACAATTGATAACTACTGTTTTGTTGTGTGTGTGTGTGTGTGTATATGAAAATTTCAAGTGTTTTTGCCAGGTTCTGAAGATAAAAGATGGTGCTCAGAGTAGAAGGTTCTATTGCAAAGTGTGTGGGGAGAATTTTGAGTTTTCTGCACTGCTTAAGCAGCATGAGAGACAGCATGAGAAAGAGAACAGTTTTCACTGTAGTTGTTGTGGGCAGGTAAGTGATAAATCATTTAACTCTACCAGTAAATTATTATTCTTATACAGTAATGAGAATTGATTTATCATGAGAAATAATTAAAAAGTAATAGATGACAATAATTGGCTCAGGATCCTGTCCATTGATGGGCTTTGATAGTAGCAATGTTAAACCTCTTGAGTTCTGCTACAAGTAGTAGATGTTGCAAAGAGAATTTAGTATTATAATTTCATATTTGCCCAAACAGACTTCCTTTTTCTTTCTCCCTCTACAAACATTGGCTATTACAACAAGGCTTTGCTTGAACATACAAAGGGTTTTCTTTTAACAGATATTTATGTGATAATAGAAATCATAAATGTCTGTAACAATGATTGTGTCAGTCACATGAAATCTGTGGGCAGGACTATAACACAGTGGAGTTGCTGAAGAGCCATTCTTGTCTCACTCCTGAGGAGAGGTTACAAAAAGAAGCAGAGGATGAAGCAGAGGCAGAGAGAGTTTCCCTTAACACACAGCTGGAGTCACTGCTTCAGGAACACAGTGGAGCTGAAGACAGGAATAACACAAATGGAAGCAGTGGGATTATGGGTGAAATTATAATTTATGTAACACAAGAAGGACAGGATGAACCAACTCAGGTGTGTCTAAGAAGAAGAAAAGAAGTAATTTACCCACCTTTCATAAAGAAGTACTTTTCTGGTAATGAGGTCCAGGAATTTATTGTCTGCTTCCTGCATGTCCTGTTCTAGCTGTGTAGATATTATGCAACAATAATGGGAAGTTTTGTTTCAGTTTGGAGACAAACATATTTTGCAAATGTGTTCTTTGTGACTATATCTTCCTTTGGTCTTCATGATTATTTAATGCAAATACAATTATTTTGTTGATAGAGCCAATCAACAGTAGGTATATAACACTGCACTGAAACATAATCATTTTCCCTGTACACCATAACAGAAATGTTAAACTGAAAGTTATATATTTTATGTCCTTTAGTAGCACTTGTGCAGTAAGCCACATTTGATGGACTAGATGAAGTTTAATTAATTTTTTCAAACAAGGATTATGGTGAACCAAAATAAGTTTATTTCCAATACTAAATATCACTGAAATCTGTTGTGTATCTTTAGAGATGAATTGTGCATACAAATGGACAGATGGTTAAGCAGCCATTGTTTCTGCACTATGTGTTCACATTATGCACATAAAATTAATTTTCCCAAAGCATATGTATAAAATTACTCTAATACCAGTTTTGTATTTTTCATTTAATGTTAGGGAAGACAGTAGTAAATTGCAAGCCATACTGTGGTTATGCATTTTAATTTGGAGACAGTACAATAAAGTTTCCTAAAGAAAAGAACACAGGAACAGTAATTATCTCTGTTGTGTTTCAGGTTCACATCCAGCCCATGACTGGTCCAATCTTAGGACACACAGATCAACAAAAATCTTTGGTAGTGGTACCTAGCTCAGACATATCAGTCCAGAAGGTTGGGGCTGACAGTCAGGTGCTTAAATTGTCCTATCTGTTTATCACAGTTTCCTGCAATTCTGGGAACAAACTGAATGCTTTACCGTTGATAGTGAAAGCAAAAATTGATTTAACATGGAAAACAAATCGCCATTACAGTGTTTACACATTCACTTTTTAAACCTAGATGTTTTATAGTACAGTAAACCCTCATTATAATGACAAAACCTGGTTTTATACAATTTTGAATTTTTAGAGATGTTGAGACACTGAGAAGTTTTTTAGTTAGAAAATTATTTAAAATAAAAATGAACCCCCCCAAAAAATCACATTATATTTTTTCTATGTTTATTGGGCATGTTGGCTATGTATCCTATGGTGTACTTGTGTGAAAACCCTTTCACTTGGTTATACATAGTGGAACAGAGAAAACGCATGTTTTTTACATAAGAATAACTTTGTTGATTTTCAAGATAAAATCTTTTTAATTACAAAAAAAAATGTATTTTAACACATTTTTAACTTACATTACATATAGAAAATAATGTCAGTCAGATGACGTCCTTCTTGCTGGACACACATTTGGAGCCTCTCCTCAAAATTCTGAATCACATTCTTCAACATGTCTTCTGGCACAGATGTGATTTCTTGACGAATGTAAAGTTTAAGCTCTTGGACCATTCGTGTTCTGTTCGTGTACACTCTTGCCTTGAGGTATCCCCATAAAAAAGTCACAAACCGATAGATCAGGGGAGTGCAGAGCCAAGAAACATCACCAAAATGGGAGATCACATGTTGGGGGAACATGCGTTGAACAACTTCCATCGATGCTCACGCTGTGTGAGCTGTGGCACCATCCTGTTGGAACCACATTTTTCTGATGTTTGCCCGACACCTTAGGAGTTCTGGATGCAAGAAGTTGTTTAACATGTGAACGTAGTGCACCGAAGTCACTGTAACTGCAGTCTCCCCCTCTTCAAAAAAGAACCAATGATCCCTAACTTAGAAACACCACACCACACTGTCACTTTTGAGCTCTGGAGAGGTATTTGGTGTACCTCTCGTGACTTTCCATCTGTTAAGAAATCACAGCTCTGCCGGAAGATATGTTGGAGAATGCGATGCAGAATTTTGAGGAGAGGCTCCAAATGAGTGTCCAGCAAGAAGGACGTCGTCTGTCTGGCATTATTTTCCATACATAATGTAAGTTAAAAATGAATTAAAATACCTTCTTTTTTGTGTAATTAAGAAGCTTTTGTCTTGAAAATCAACATAGTTATTCTCATGTCAAAAACATGCATTTCCTCTACTCCATCCTGTATTGGATATTGGCGATAATGGACACCCTGTCCCTCCCTTTTGGTCCATTATAACGAGTGTTAACTGTGGTCTGAAATTACACATCATACAAAGTAAATAAAAATGTTACTCTGTTCTTATCTCATAGCATAAACAAAGCCATAAAGATGTTTTACTCCTGGAAGATTGTGGCAGTACCAGTCAGATGGTAACAGATCTTGGTGGAACACTGTCAACACCACTGCAGTTCGAGTTTTGCAATTCTGGGATCACTGTTTGCACCAGTGAGGGGAACAACAGGAGTGACAGGACTGACTGTAGCAACCCATCTCTCTTCCCCCAGCACATGGTCACGACCCTGGGAAGTGATAGCAGCAGCGATAACTTTGTTACAGGTGAATCTGTATTATATGAATACATGATGCATAGGTCATACCTACTTGACCCTTCACATTTTTCAAGAATGGCTATTCATACAAAACATGCGAACATGATAACAGGCCTTCAAGTACCCTAAAAAGATGGGGAGTTTTTTGACTGGCTGAGAAACTATCAGCTTCTCAAGAAGAACTGTTCTGCAGTTTACTAGAGTAATTTCTGCCACTAGACATAATGATTATATCACTATGATCTATTCAATAGAGTTTAATTTGTGAGCTGGACACCAAAATGAAACTTCTAAAGACATGTAACTGTGTTTAAGGTGGTGATGTTCTGGGAGAACCTAGTCACGACTCAGACTGTGATAATGGCATGCCAAACGCAATAGGAATGACATCTGTGCCAAAGAAAGAAGTAATAAAGACAGAAGAATGTGTGGATATATTAGTTCCAGAAATTGAATCTACTGGCATGTCGTCAGAATCTGTTGCTGTCCACAGTAAAACAATGCCTGCTACTGGCAAGAAACAAGTGCGAGTGTACCAGTGTCCCGAGTGTCCAAAAACTTTTGTTAAGAACAGCAACTTCAAACAACATTTAGGTTAGTAATGACAAAATAATAGCTATACTGTGTTGGGGTAAACTACTTCAGAACTCTCTCATTTCTATAATCCTTACCCTTTTACCTATAATCTCAGAACTCTTCTAGTTATTCTGCTTTTACATCCATTCTTTTATTGTGTAGAAGCCATTGATATTTTCATCTCTGACTCATATACAGTACCCAGCTTCACTCTGATTCCATTATTTCTGATTATGTTTATTTTCTATGTAATGCTTCTCAAAAATGTAATAGGCATTGCATGTGTTTTACATTTATCTTTCTCTTTGACTTTCCACCGTTTGAGTACCATACTCTTGTTTCAAGTATGAGCCTTGTGTATTGTAATTTACTTTGTCTTGGGAGTCCAAATTCAAAGTAGCTCCTTCACAGCATGATAACATTTTGTACTTGGATTATTCTAATTATTTTTTTCTCAGTATTCTGTCAAGTGTTATTTTCACTCTCCAAATATATGTGCTTATTACTTACTTCACTTATACAGTCCTGATTTCATTTATAAAGTGGTCTGAATTTCTTTTAATATTTATGATTCTTGTTTTATTCACATTAATATGTACTTCATAGAGTTTAATCTCTCTGTTGCATTTGTTTAACTCTATATTTATGTTCCTATGTCAGGACATCATATACAGAGACTACTGTTTTTATTCCTTCTATAGCCAGATGTGCTTGAAAATAATAATGACCACTGGGAAAAATATTGTATGAATAGCTCTTCTGATCTTGTAAGTTGTGACCAGCTGTAAAGGCAACCAGTGAAAATTGTTTGCTAGTTGTTTATTTTAAATAATATAGAGGTCAGCACAGAAACAAATGCTATTACAAATACTTACATCATTTGTTATACACTGGAAAAAGGCATCTGTTCTTTTGCCTGGTTACTGCTATGTTACCACCTAGTGAACACGTGACATTAAATTAATGCCAAGCAACAAAACAGCAGTGAACATAGATTGCTTATGAATATTTGTTAAACAGCTGCCAAAAAGCAAAACATTGGTAGACAAAGATTTATTTTATACTGTAAGAACTAGAGATATGGTTTCCTGGCAAGACAGAAATGGTTCACGTAATACAAAAAGAATATATACTGTAGATCAAACATAAGAAGCATTTGAGGTCACAGCCACACATCTGACTTCAGTAATATCATCTGGTGCAACACTAAATAAAAGAGAGGTGAGCATACTTCCTGTTTCACTGCAGTAATCATTAAGAACCATCTAAATCACATCCGCTCTACGAACAAGGGTACTTCATACATTGTCACTCACTGACGATGGTGAATCTTTTATTCCCACGGTAGACAAAGTATATCCATACTCATTGTTACACAGCTGTAACATTCTTCATAGTGGTTTTGATTTTGTCCATGGGTTGCTATGGTACTTGTAATCATCCTAAACTTTTACAAATATTATCCATCTTGAAAACCTATGAATACCTGTATTATTTCTCTTCCATGTGTTAATTTCCTGCTACTTTCCTAACTGAAGAATGAGATCTAGAGAGGGTATGTTTTTCTTCTGTCAAATGGTAATATATTGAAAGGTGGTCAGGGAATGTAGTAGTTCGTAAACACTTTTATTCTGAGGCTCTATTGATGTGAATAAAAAGAAGCTTGATTCCCCCCCCCCCCAATGTATGGAAAAGATTTAGAATGTGATCCAACAGTTTGAGTAAGTGATTACTAATGAACCATAATGATATCTATTACAAAGTATTTTATCCGTGAAATTGTATATCTGTGACTTAATATGGTCTTTTACGATTATAATTAATTTAGCATGTTTCTTATCAGCCAGTTTTTTGCAGCTCCATTAAGAACTTTCACAATTGGCCAGGAGGCTAAAGCTCCACTGGCGTAAAATACTGAAATGTTTTATTTTATGCCCATAGGTATTCACTTCATTGACCAGCAGCGTTACCACTGCTCAGCCTGTGGTCAGTCTTTTGCTTGGAAGTCAACACTGAACAAACATATGCTCACTCACAGTATAGGTCCCCTTCCTCGCTACAGATGTAACCTCTGCAGCAAAGAATATGCTGCTGCTACACAGGTTCAGGTGAATGCTGCAAAATAACTTAGTTCTCTATTTAAACCTTTAAATTAGTGATGAGGCATCTTGACTACACTGACAGACTTTCTGTCACACTCACTGCCCACATGTATGATATTGCTCTAACAGTGAAACAGGACCATCTCTGATTTGCCTTGAAAGTTTGTAAGTATTGTGTACTCCTTCTGAATAGCTTTCCATACCATGGGTAAAATATGTACTTTTAGGTTTCTGGGGAGGGACAACACAGGACACACAGAATGGTGAACTTAATATAATACTGAAAGAGTTGAGCTTTCAGCTTTTCAAAGACTTACTAACTTGAAACTCTGTTTCAGGAACACATTAAACGGGACCACTATAAGCAAAGGCCACATGCCTGTGTTGTTTGTGGCAAAACTTTCTATAAGAAATATGATCTCAAAATACATGTCAGGTAAGTATATCATTTCACAACTTTAAATTTTCTCCTGTAATTCAGACTTATAATATCCGTCTTTGAATATTACAATTTTATGAATAACAAATTTGTTCCAATCTGTCAAACAGTGTCTGTACTACACATTATAACTTGCAGAACTCATACAAAAGAGCGACCATATATTTGTGGGACATGTGGGAAAAGTTTCTATCATCTTTCTCACATAATACGTCATGAACGCATTCATTCTGGTCAGCGACCATATCACTGCCCTGACTGTGGCCGTCAGTTCAATCAGTCAAGTTCACTCAAGAGTCACAGGTGGGTGCTGGTTGTAGTAAGATTGGAGTAATACTTAGTGTGAAGTTTGCCAGTGTTTTAATAGTAACATCATGATTGACTGAATTTCAGGCAACGTCACAACCAATGTGTGAGAAAATCTGTGCTAACCGGACTTGAGCTGGCACCTGCAGAACTGGTACAACCAGAGTTTCCAGATATTGTGCCAGATCCAGGTCTTTTATATGCAGGAACTGATCTATAATAGTACCAATACTGGTAAAGTTTGTCAAACTGTGATATGCATGCTATTTCACATTCATCCCAACCAGTATCACAATTATGAGGTAGGGCTCTCATCTGAAACAAATTGATTGGGGATGTAAGAAACACCTGAAAAATGTGATGTCAGAACTAAGGATAATCATGCCGAGGAAAACGTAATTTTTTAGGCATATTCACCAGAGTTAGTTTTGGTGATGATAAGTTTTAAGTATGTATGTGACTCTCTATTTTGGTAGTCTCCTAAGAAGAAAGTATTTGTAAAATAAAATAAGGGAGAAATGAAAGAATAGTTTCTTGGCAAAATAAGGATGCACAGTGCAGAACACCAGATGTTTTTCCTTTTTGGAAGCAAATGTGTTGATTATGGTACTAGTTCAAATATTTTAGAGTAGGGGTTTTTATTCTGATGTGTTTCTTATGGAGGACTTGAGACAGCATTCTTGGATAATTCAATGCAGGCAAGAAGCAATGAACTTTAATAGATGGATGACATTACTGCATAAGTTAACAATAAAATATTTCCAAATAAAGAGCACTTACAAATCTATAATATACTTGCATAGGTGCCCATTCTTCACGTTTTTTTCTTAAAATAAACTGTACTGTAATAATGAAATTGTTTTTTTTTATTATTATTATAACATTGTATGACTACAGAATCTCACTACTCATTGTTCAGTTATTTACTGCTGTAGTGTTGCATAATGGTAGCTTGATGTCGGGAATCAAACTCAACAGCAAAAAAATTCCAAACTGAGAAAATAATGGTATCTGTTTCATTAAACAGAATTTTCTAGGACAGTTCTGTGTCAGACTGGTGAAAGAATGAATCAGTCCCACATATGTTTACCTTTTGAAGCCTCTGGAATCAAAGCCTGGCACTTGGATGGATGATATTAAGACATAATCATGTACCTTAAATAGATATGTGAAGATATCAAGTTTTGTACCTCTGGTTAATAACTAAACTGTTGATATTTTGAAGAGTTTTACTTTCTTATACCCACAACTTTTCTATTATAGAAAATTCAGCATTGCTTCTGACCTACAAGCTATGGAGAAGAGAGAGAATGACATTTCAAACTTACTCCTGAATTTTATCCTAAAGTCTTGCAAAATTTAATGACAGATCACAAACAGCATTGCATCTTGAATAGTCTATGTTAAAATTTTCTGCAAGCATGTACTTTAACTGATATCATTATTTCCATATATTCAGGAATTTAATGCTACTAAAATTATCCCCCTAAGACACTTAGACAGTGAAATATCAAAAGATGAACATAAAGCAATGGAACACATATAGATAGAGAGGGAATTCAGGCAGCAATCCAGAAAGGAGTGGAGATCAATAAATGAAAGGGTTTGATTTATAGATAACAATATACAAAACAGTTATAAAAATAGGGTTAGTTTTCAGTGTGATGCCAGAGCATGGTGATATATAATTAGCTGATTTGAAAAAGTGTATATTGCCATTTTCATAACTTCCAAAAGCTAGAGGTTTTCTACATTGCTGAAAATAAAGTGCAGAAATTTCTCTGAAAGATATTTATAAAACACAATATTATGATAATGAATTATAATTTTAATAGTATTACCTATGTCCAAATACTCGTACTCTCACTGGCTAACAAGACTGTGTTTACCTTTGTCCATACAGTTGTTTGAAAACAAGTTTGTGAGAATTTATGAAACAGGCTAGGCCTTGTTTTGCAAAAATAAAGAGATAGAAAGCTTGAGAAAATGAGAATAAAAAACATGCAGTCTGAAATTAAAAAAATATGAAAGAAATCTGTCCACAACTGGGATGTAATGTCATGTAGTCTGTTGAAAGTTGACCGACATTTCAGAGGAAAATGTTGCCAGCTTGCCTCCTGATTTCACAATGGTTTCTTGCTTGACTTTTTTTTTTTTTGATTTGCTAGTGGGGGGTGGAGTCCAGCTGGGTCCACTTGGCATGGCGGCCACTGATTGGCCTATTGGACCTGCCCCGAGTGATTATGATGATGGAGAATTTTGTGGAATGAAGATTGGCAGGGAAAACCGAAGTACTCAGAGAAAACGCGCCCCAGTGCCACTTTGTCCACCACAAATCCCACTTGACCAGACCCGGGATCGAACCTGGGCCACAGTGGTGGAAAGCCAGCGACTAACCACTTGGGCTATGGCACAGCCTTCTTGCTTGACTTACTCTTCAGCTCTGAGATGGAGGCAACACATTCCTTTGAAATGTTGGTTAACTTTCAATGGACTACACAGCATTATATCCCAGAAGATAGAACTCTTCATAACCACCGCTGTGAGAATCTCAGATCCTGCAATAAAATGTTGGATTTTAAAAGGAGTGACTGTGAAGAATACTGTTTTCTTGAATGTAGCCATGTAGCCTTGTTGTTCACTGGTGTTTCAGAGGAACATCAGGAAAATTCTACCAGACTACAGAGTGTTACATTGCATAAGATAGCACTCTTCAGAAATGAAGAAATTTTCTGATTTTGGCTGTAATCTGGATGAATAGCTGACGCTAATCCTAGACATCTGAAAATATCCTTTATTGTAATGAGAAGTGGTTTACTTCTTTTGTTACTTCTGTTGCCAAGAATAACTTATTGCAAGAGCAAGGTGGTGATATCTACAGAGAGTTCAAACAAAAAGGAAATGTAGCAACATCATGATTACTGTGTATGTTATATTATGAGTCATTCACACAGTCAATAAACTGTGATCCAGATGGTCTGAACTCTGTAACTGTTGCAATGAGATATAAGATACAGGAGCATGGTTTTGTAACTAGACAATGGATGGATGAATGAGGAATCGAGATTTGATTCCCAGCAGTGTCAGGAGATTTCTTTTTCCATCATAGCATCTAGAATGGCTCTGAGGCCCATCTAGCCTTCTATCCAATGGGTACTGGGATTTCCCATGTCTTCACATAATGATGCTTAAATAAGCACAGGGATAATTTTACTTTTCTTTATATATGAAAGACTGCCAGAAAATACATTGAGAAGTTCACTCATAAATACCCACAAGAATAATTTCCCACAAAGTTGCATCGTATTGAAGTCTGTCAAAAAGTAGCGGATTACCAGTTCATTTTGTGACAAAAAGAAATGTGCTAGCTGAAAATAAAGTGTGAGATATTTAGGCATGGTAGGTGATCTGTTCTTGCAAACTGTGAAGATGTTTGGCATGAGAAACTGGTGTTTTGCTATGATCAGCATTCACTGTCGTAAGAGAGATTAAATTGCATTTATACAAAATAATGTGCACAGTGGAATCATGGAACCACAGTAGCTATTAATAACTGCTGAAGCCTTACAAAAATGTTCATTCCAGTAAGCAGAATATATGGATATAGAGAGAACAGTATCCTGATGCCATTTGGCAATTGCCATTACACAGTGTAATTGTAATGGTGTCATGTGCTGTAAGTAAGCAGTGAATTATTGGTCTGGATGCTTTGCTGGAAACTGTGAATTCAGATCAGTATTTGAGCAATATACTGAATCACTTCAGAGCTTTAGAATGTTTCACAAAACTGTTTACATTCTGTGAGGCTTGTTTCAAAGAAGAAGGGGGCAATTCTTATAAAATATTGTGACATGTTGAGCTATGGATCAGCCCTACCTCCCCAGCGGTACGTGGCGGTAACGTAACGTTCGCGTTACTATGGTAATAGGCGAGTTAACGCCCCGCCACTCCCCTCCGCGGTGACGTAACGCGCGGTGACGTCACGAGCGGAGCCGAGGCTAACCGAGCCGCGTAACCTGATAACGATGCCATGTGA